ATTATTTATTTATTATTTTATACGTAGAGTACCTGAGATAACTTGTAAGAAACATATTCGGGAGTAACATAAGCGCTGCAGTGAATTGTAGCCATTTCCCAATCGCTTCTTTCTTTAATTAATTGTTCTATAATAAGTCTAAAATAATAGTAACAACATTATCCCTCTGAAGTGGAAAAATTAAAAATACATTTTAGGAAAAAGACGATGAAACATACGATTTGGCAGAACCGTGTTCAGCCACCAGCAGAAAATGTCTCTCTTCTCCTGGTGTAAGGCATTTCCTCAGAAGATCTAAACTATGATTTATTAAAGCAGTTTTAACAAGGGGAATGTCTTCTATATGTTTTTCAGAAAATGTAATGTCTACGTCTGTATCGTAGCTTTCTATGTTATCCGAGCGTTCATCGTAGAGAAGAAAGTGTGAAGGATTTGGACACATTTCTCCAAACGAATCAAATACCTGCAAATTTTATTAATTTCGTCTAAAACTGTTTTATTTTTAATACTGTAAAAATTCTACCTGTTTTATAAATACGTTTCTGCAATCTCTAGACAATTGACTTCCAAGACCGTTCAACAATCCAACCAAAAATTGAGTTTTCGTTTTGGCGTCGTAGAGATGTTGGAAGGCAGTCTTTACAATTGACAAATTTGATTTCGAAAGGGGGAATTTACCCTCATCTTTTGCCCAATCAAAAGCTTAAAAATGTTGAGACAATAATTAAAAACAGACAGCAAACCGATGTATATATATTGACAACCACCTTTATAGAAATACTCAGGGATATAATGTTTCAAAAGATCTCCAACATCATCCTCCAGACTGTTCACAATTCCGTCCAAGTAGTTTGTCACAGTGAAGTCCTCTTCGTTAAGTAAAACGATACCAAGTCTAGAAACAGTTGCTGGAGAAGCATGGCTCAGCTCATGGGTTTCAAAAACAAAATTAACATTTGGCCCAAATTTTATTTGCCAACCCGAAGGTAACGACAAAAGTCTATTGTCGTCTAGAACTGAATTTAGCGATTCTATCCACTCAGGGTCAATATCACCATCACATACTATCCACGACCAGGTGTCTGGAAATGAGGACATTAAAAACATATGAATGCCAAGATGCACGTCGAAGAGGGTATAGAAATTTGATAAGATATTGATGATGTTAAATATACTTAAAAATGTAGGGATGAGTTGCAAAGATAGAAGAGTGATACTTAGTTTGTATAAAGAGCAACAGGCAGTTATAGAGCTAGGGCTGCAACGTAGAGAAGTAAATATTAGGAAGGGAGTCAGACAGGGATGCACACTGTCACCGCTACTTTTTAATCTATACATCGAAGACGCCATCAACATCATTAAAGACAGTACAACTGTAGGGATAGATGTGCAAGGGCAAAAGATTAGTATGCTTAGATTTGCAGATGATATAGCAGTATTAGCATCTAGCAAGGAGGACCTAGAGATAGCTTTAAATAAAATGGAAGCGGTACTGACAGATCAGTACTGTATGAAAATAAATAAAAGTAAAACTAAAATACTGGTATGCAAGGGAAGGAAAAGTAGGGAAAGAGCGAATATAAAGAAAGGAGACGAAAAATTATGCTCGCGAACGGTTAATTTAGAAATTCGAAAAAGGTTAAAGGTGTATGTTTGGAGCACGGCGCTGTACGGGTGCGAAACATGGACAGTGGTCTCGGCGAAAAAGAAAAGGTTAGAAGTGTTTGAAATGTGGTGTTACAGGCGAGTGATGAGGATACCGTAGATAGAGAAGGTTAGAAATGAAGAGGTATTAAAAAGAGTAAGAGAACAGAGGACTATATGGAAGTCAATAAGAAATAGGCGTGATAGGTTAGTAGGACACCTTCTCAGGCATGAAGGTCTAGTCAGAGACATATTAGAGCCAGAAACGGATGTTAGGAGGGGTAGAGGTGGACCTAGATTAGATTACTGTTCGCAAATAGTTAAGGACGTGGCTTGGTCTAGCTTTAGGGAAATGCGAAGATTAGCTGAGGATAGGAAAGAGTGGAGGTGCGTGTCCAACCAGTCTTAGGACTGACGACCTTATGATGATGATGAAGATATTAATGGAGACTGACACTCTATATGAAGAAACAATGAAATTGAGTGGAATAGAATGGAAAGACAAAATAACAAAACCGTGGAACTTTATTTCATGATTATTGTTTAATTTTCTATTCGTGACTGTGGGATTTCGTCATGATTTTTAGAATGAAACAGAAATGTTTTCAGAAGTGGTTTTGGAATGTAGAAGCGGCAATTTTAATGTGGACAACATACATGTTGAGTAATGCTGGCAGAACCAATAATATGTATACCTGGTGGTTCAGAGGTCACTTGCAGGCTGCAACTGGTCAAAACGCCATCCATCCACTGTCTGGTGTCGGTATCAATCTTCCCTAGAAGTAGTGTTTTATTTATTGCTTTCGGATTAAATGTTGTTTGCTTTAACACGTTCCCCATTTTGTTCAATGCCTAAAACATTAAGATGATCTTTCATTTTCCTTATGATTATTATTAAAACCATGCTCACATGAAACACTAAAGTCCGAACGACCGTTTTACCAGATCCTGAGGGACCCACTAAAGCCACACCCATTCTCTGCTTCAGTTGTTCATAAAATTCTATGCATTTATTTATCTACAAAAATTGACGTAGTTATTTAGAATTTTTAGTAAATTATAAAAAAACATTTGAATATTAACCAACCTGTCTTTCGTTTATTTGATACTTTAGTTCGTTATATGACTCGTCAAGGGCCTTAAGGAATTCTTCATGCCCTGTGCTTTCGATGTGAGTGTTTGGAAATGCGTCGGCTAACAATGCTTCAAATTTTACACTATCAGCGTATGTTAGTCTAGATAAAGTGTTTTTACGTAAAGATTGCACTGCAAATTCAAGTTCTTTTTCCAGGTTGACCGTTCCGATTTCTTCATTCGTATGATATTGTCTTATATATTCGCCGCAACTTAGCAAAACAGTCTTCAGGGCCCTAAGACCCCAATCGTAATGCTGTTGTTTGCTTAGAAGATTGCTAAAATGTTTTTAAGAAATTTTCACACTGTCCAATAAAAAGAAAGACAATTTTGACTTACCTTGACAAGTTATAAATTTCTACAATTTTCTTTGCTAAAACGTTGGCATGTTTAAAACCATCGCAATGCAGCAAGGTCTTGGCAATATCCTCATGGTCAGGTTGGGTCATTACAATTGGTCTAAATAGCTGCTTCAAATTATCGGGTAGATTATTTCTGGCACCATATCCCTCCCCGGCAGGATTTAGGGTGACGAAGATGCCACTGTGCTTATTTACTTGAACCTCCTGCTCTAACATGGCTACAGTGTTTTGTTTGTGGTAAAGGGCATTTTGTATGGACTGTATATGCATAGATATTGTCGACAATGTGACCTCGTCTAAACGATTGAACTCATCAAAACAACCCCATGCTCCACACTGAACCAGTCCGAATAAAATTTTCCCCATCGATGTCGCATCAATTGTCTAAAAGTTTTTAAATGGTAAACATGGCTATTTTACCGCATAGATATGGCACCTCATCACAGTTGAACACGAGAACTTGACGTCCTAAAAGACAACCCAGAGCTTTAACAGTTTCTGTTTTCCCAGTCCCAGCTGGCCCGTAAGGATTTCCCCCTAAACCCAGATGCATCCCCTACAATAATAATTTGTTTCGATACATTCAGTTACATCAGTTACTAACCCGAATTAAATGCATGCTAACCTGGGTTAAAGTTAAGAAACATTTATCCGTCAGTGATGTTTGCACCAGTTTTGGTTGATTACCCAGATATTCGTACGAATATTCAAATTCTGCATTTACCATTTTTACAGTTACGTTTCCAGATGTATCTGAATAAAATCTGTAAGCAAAAGTTCAAGGGACATCCCATGAAATACTCCAAAACAGAAAGGTGTTACTTATGGTTTACCTAAGTTGTTTCCTCCACGTCCAATCATTATCTTTGGCAACGTTATCTGCTATCAATTCTTCAATAACAGACACGTTATGTATGGTGTCAACTAAAAGTGTTTTGAGTTTTAGTTCCAAAACATCGGAACCGCTGTTTTCGTTACTTTGATTATTTCTATTGAAATTTAGCGAACTATAATGGACTAGTTGGGACTGAAATGTCAAACATCAATTTGATAAAAGAATTAGTTTTTAATAACGGACGATTGTGTACCTTGTAGCTGCCCAATAGGGGGACCAAAGCCATATCGGCAATGGCTTTTTCACACTGTTTCGTGAACGTAATACTGTTGGACAAGCAAAGGATTTGTGATGGATACTTTGCAGGATTTGCATTTTCTCCTTCTGATAAACAACGTGTTAAAAGCGACCTGAGTGTAATTTGCATCTCTTTCACTAAACTGTTGAGCCAATCCTACAAGTTACGTGTGACTTTTGTATAAACATGAAGACGTTTCCTTTTAGGAAGAAATAGATACCTCAACAGGCTGATTAATATCTACGGGTTGATTCAAAATTACAGTTTCTCCTTGAAGGGAACACATGGCAATAATGTTTTTATTATCGACGTCCAATTTAATTGAATTTATACCACCAAATAGTTTTTTCAAATGCGATTGGATGACGTGTTCTTTTGACGATTGACCGACGATCTCTAGGAGGTCATCGTCACTCAAAAAAAGAAATCGGGGAAATCTCTTTCTTTTTTCCTGAAAATATGTTGAGAGTGACTATAGACGGGTGATAAAATTATGGTCTGAAATATAGCAGTATCAGCATCAAGGAAGGTGGAGTTAGAGATAGCTTTAAATAAAATGACGAAAAAGTCGAAGAAGTGGCTGATTTAAGAATCTAGGAAGTCAGATAAGTCAGGATGGAAGGAATAGTAGGGATTTAAAGAAGAGGATAGTGTATGGTCGAGTTGCCATCAATAAAAAGAAGTCACTTCCATGCTCGCGAACGATTAATTTAGAAATTCAAAAAAGATTGTTAAAGGTGTATGTGAAATGTGGGGTTACACGCGAATGATGAGGATACAGTGGATAGAAAAGGTTAGAAATGAAGAGGTATTAGAAAGACTAGGAGAAACGAGAACTCCGTGGAAGTCAATAATAAATAGGCGAGATAGATTGGAAGAACACCTTCTCAGGCATGAAGGTCTAGTCAGAGACATATTAGAAGCAAAAACAGAAGTTAGAAGGAGTAGAGTAGAATTAGATTAGATTACTGTTCACAAATAATTAAGGATGTGGGATGTTCTAGTTTTAGAGAAATGCGAAGATTAGCTCAGTATAGGAAAGAGTGGAGGTGCGTGTCCAACCAGTCTTAGGACTGACGACCTTACGATGATGATGGTCTGAAAATCTTACAGCGAGAAATTTATCCAAACTGTGTTGACACTTCGTAAGTTGTTCCTGTAAATTTTCTAGGGTGCTTCCAATATTTGGAAATTTAAGTAATGAAGTAACTTTAAGTTCTTTTTCGATAAAGGTAATAATTCGTCGAAAATCTTTATCAATTCTATTAAATCTGCCCTTTTCTTGACTTAAAGTGCCGCTTACAAATATTGGTTCCAAATACAACCATCTACAAACAGATTGTAGTTTATAACGAGATTTTTACAAACAACCCACTGGTTTACTTTCTCTGAATTTGCGCTAAAGATGTTATATAACGATCCAAGTCAATGAGTCGACTTTCCCATGATGTTATCCTTTCAGAAAAGGTTTCATAATCTGATGAGTTTTTAACGGATTGCAGTAGACTTTGATTGTCTCCGATCTAAAAGTATTTATGTACTTAAATGTACACTTACTTTATTAATTTATTCATTAGCAACAAACTTTATTAAGTATATCTTTGAAATCTTTTATTAGCATCAAATTGACTCGTTTGGAATCAGTGTGTAGAGTCAGAGCGAATCTTGTTTGGAAATCCCACAATTCAAGTTCTGACAATGCCTGTCGCACAACAATTTCACTTGCTGCTTTTTTCGATATCATCTACAAATTCCAAACGATAATATAGAGGTATCTATCGAACACTATTGATTAAACCTGCAGTTTTGACCCTTCTTCAACGATCTTTTGGGCTACGTTTAGAAAATCTCGTAGACAAATTGCGTCAATTGGTTTTTGAGGAATTCCCAATAAAGCAAAAATTTCTGACCAATGTTTGTCGGTGAAATACTCACCTCTTAAATATTGGAGAATTGGTATTACTTCCTAATGTAAAAATAAATGAAAATTTAAGTGAGTTTAAGGGATTTAAAGACAATTACAGTGTATTTCTCTATTTCTATTTGTAGAGCTGGTGAAGGATTTTCCATTGTCGTGAGCGCTGTATCCCATTTGTTTAGAAACTCTTCCAAGCGGTATATTTTCTTCCTGAATACGATCCACTCTTCGTCCATAAGTTGGTTGATTTCTAGAAATTAGTTTATGAAGAAATCATTTAACTATAAGGTAATGCTAATGTATGCCTGAAGAGAATTCTTCAAAAGGTTTCCATAGATCTTCCTGCTGTTTCAAATCAGCTTCAACCTCATCGAAAATTGGAATAACCGGTGGCTCCATGTTCAATCGCAAGTACTCATTTCTGTATGCATAAATACAATTGAGAAATAAATCGACACTGGTTTTAGTGATACAGAGATATACTCACAACAGAGCGTCTTTCTTTTGTGTTAACTCGTCCCATTGTAATCTCTTTTCTTTAATTTTGTCCAAATAAGTTTTGAGACTGTCCATGTTGTTTTGATCAGTTCCAGGATGGGTTTTAACTTGTTCCCATTTTGCTTCAAACCGCTGTAAGTCATGCATTAGGTTTTCTCTAGTAACATTCAAAGTGATCTTCATTGTTTCTATCTGCAAAGAGAAATAGAAAGATTGTAGTATTTGTATTTTGGTCGTAATTTTCCTAACTTGCCTGGCGTGTAATAATGTGTTCGTGGTTTTCTAATAAGCTTTCTAATCTCTCCCAGGCAGTTTGCAATCTGTTAACCGAATCCACTTGTTCCCTTGTCCAACTCGACAAAGTTTTACACTTTTGGAGAACTTCTTGCAGAACGTTTTCCATCTGCATTTGCGAAAGTTACAAAAATGAGCGAACGTTACCTTTAGAAAACTCTTTTACCTCTGGTTTGTCATTTAAAATCTTTGAGAACCCTAAATCTGCTTCACCAAATTGTTCTATTGTCAAAAGTTGTTTGTGGAGGTTGGCTGTTGAAGAGTCAATGTATTGTTGCAATTTAAAAACGTCCTGGGCAATAGAATCTTTCAAACTGATTGTAAGTTGAGACCAATGGTTTCTATTATGATTTTCCAAATCCATTCTTAACCATGATAGGCCCACTATAAAGCAACCAACTCTTTCTTCACTACTAAAAGGCCACATAAAGGAATTGTTAGATAATACAATACAATGCACATTTAAAATGAATGAAAAAGAAAAATATACCTTGGAAGTTTAGCAATTTCTTGCCCAAAAGTTTTTGATGCTCTAAATTGAATGTCCCACTGTTGCCAGGATTTAAGCTGAGAAGTATCCAATCCATCGAGGGTTAGCCAAGACTTCCAATGAGTTTTAACGGTTTGAAGTTGCTTGAACAAATCATTTTTATGCTTATTAATAATATCCAAATGTTCTTTGCTCCTACAAAATTACAATCAATTATTTAACACGTTTTAAATTGACTAGTTGTATCAACCTCTCCACAATTTCTGCAAAAACATTTCCCGAAACTGTCTCTGACACTCCCGTGAGTTTCTTAGGGAGATCCATAAATCTTTTCAATTGCTGGTTGTATTTCTCTTCTAGAATTTCTTCAGAAGGGGAAAATTGTAATTCATTATTTCTGTAAGCCAAGTCCACGTGTATCTCCGGCAAATAAAGATGAAGTGTATCGAAACTTTGGATGTATTTCTTTTCCAGGACAGTTGCAAGCTGCTTATCAATATCCGTCTTCCACGTGGCCATATTTTGGAAACCTTTAGTTTGGACTTGGTTGACTATATTTTGGACGAACTTTAAGGCATCTTTCCATTTATGAAATTGCTTAATAAGATCAACATCTTCCAGATCCGCGATCTTAAAAAAGTTTTTGAATCAAATCATGGATTTTTTTACCAAGCGGTTGATAAAAGATTCAAACCTTTTCCTTTATTTTGCTATGATAATCTGTGAGAAGATCATTTTCATCGGATAGTTTTTCCACGGCATTCTTTAATATGTTCACGTACTTTTCGACAGATTTTACGTCGCTCCACGTGACAACTTCTTGGTCTTGAACCAATTTTGAAAGAGCCACCGCGCTTGCTAACATCATTGGTCTTTGGGAAGGTATCATTCGGTCACCGATGGTATTGTGAAAATTAGCTATCTAATAAAAATCGTGCTTAATTGCTACAGCTATTCGAAATCATGACTTGGGCGATTTACTTGTTCCAATGTTCGAGCGTGTCTCATGAACTTGCTGGCAAGATCTGCCACTTCTATGATACTGTCTGGTATGGTATAGTTGAACGAGGCTAACTGACGAACTTCTCCTATTAGGACCACCAAGCGAGGAGAATAATTAACTTCCATCATTTTATCTTTTGAAAATTGGACCACTGGATCGGTTTCTTTTAAGCTTAAAACAGTATTGCACTTACTTTGAACCCTTTCTCATTCACAAGAACTAGTCTAGTTCTTCTTTTACCTTAAATGGTTACTTTTTATACTAGTATAAATGTCGTTGGTCCAGGAATCGAAAAGATCTGAATGTTGTTCTCTTATTTCTTTTGTTAACTGCTTTGTAGCTTGCTTAAGTTCGTCATACCCATGTAAATCATTCAGTAATTTATCGCTTATACCATCAACTCTTTGTACCTTTAAGTAAGACAAAAGAACGCTATTGTTTCATTTTAATATAATGAGGAATTACCTTAAGTTCTAACTGTCTCAAGTTCATTATTTCAGCAACAGTTTGTGATGTGTTATATTTGTCAAAATCTGGTCTAACGTCTGAGGTCATTTGGGCAGCCAATTCTTTTAGGTAGTCTTTCGACACCGAAAGTAAATACTGTCTTTCATTTTGCAAAACTTGTTTAACGATTGGCCTGCTTATCAGTTCACAATATCGAGAGCATTCGTGCAAAAGCTAAAAGCGACATCGGGTATCAAAATTGGGGCTTGAATGGTACAAGTAATTCCAATACCTGTTGAGTGTTAGCTGTTGTATCTGAGAGCTGCTTCCTTAATTTTGTTGCAACCCTTTGTTCAGCAGGTTGAAAGAGATACTCAAATTTTTTAACTGCTGTTTTCCATTGACCTTCTGTATAAGGATCTGTGCGCAGATATTCAACGTCTGAAAATGATTACTTTCAATCTTCAAAGGTGAAAATCATAGTGATTGAAATCTACCCTGAAACGGTTTGAATGTTTCGTTCGTTTTTAAGTCCTCCACTTCAGATGCAGTCAAAAGCCGAACGATTTGTCTATGGACAGTGCGGACATTCAATACCTAAAATGATTTGTTTGAATGGTACAATGAAAAGAGAAGATTTTGATCTTTCTGAATCTTCTAGAATAATCAAATAATATAATAAAGTATGTTTTGAAGATTGAGAAAGTTATTAGAAATACTCCTAGAGGATTGGAATTGACTCCCATTTTATACTATATTCGTACTTCTTTTACTCTATCGACAAGTGCTTGTAGATTGCTTGGAACATGTGGTTTTCCTTTCCAAACATGTAACGAATAATTGGGCCAATAAATTTCAGTCAGTTGTTTGCATGTAGTCAACCAATGTTCGCCGGTGTTAATGCATAAATTCAATGTTTCAAGTACAGACATAAAATCTTCCGACCAAACGTTCGAATCTTTCACATGTTTTGATAAACATTTTACCAAGTCGAAAGCTAAAGATATAAATCGACGCGTGAATTAACAATTAACTGATTATTATGATATATTCTGAGACATAACGTACAAATTAGATCCATCAGATGCTGCATTCTAGCTTTTGGATAGGGAACATCAAGTCTCCAAAGATCGTCCAAGCTACTGTGAGCATTTTCGAGAATGTCTTCGATTTCGGGAAGGGGCAAAGCCTCCAGGACCCTAACAATTCAAAAAGCCAATACAACAAAACAAATCATTGCAAATATTTAATGAAGCATTTATTTACTGTTGATTAGGATATTAAGGATAAATAAATTAAAGGAAACGAAAGTAAAGTTTCAAAATTGTTTTACTAAAACATTGGCTTCTTCAGGTCAAGATATTGTGATTAAAATTGTTAAAAAATTAGCTGAAATACTAAAAGTTTACAAATTTTATGGGTTGGGAACAACGAAAGGGAGCGATAAGGTAAGAATTTAAGTTTTTGAAGGCAAATATAAATTTAATAAAGAAGAATCATTTACATCAGTTTGATCGTTTAGCAAAATATTTAATAATTTATTATATTTATTAANGCTTTTTGGCAATTCTTTTAAAATTTGAAAATTATCATTAAATGTGTGTCTCTCTTTAAATAAATGTTCTGCATATGTAGAATCAGCTTTCTCATTAGTATAGCTCTTCCTGTGTTCTGTAATCCTTTGATTGAAGGATCTCCCTGTTTGTCCAACGATTAATTTATATATTTTTTGAAACTTTACTTTCGTTTGCTTTAATTCACAGGGCAAAGTATTATTACGTAAATGAAACTTAGTATCAGCAATTTCTTATGCTGAAGTGTACGATGTGTTGCATACCTATTTACAAACAATTCTTTTAAATTTATTTTTTCAAACAATTTTTAACACAAAGAAAGTGATTAAACAAATTGTTCACAAAAGTGAATTTTGACCACTCGCTCACAGGACTGTTAGGGTGGAAAAACTTGTTATTTTAAGATAAATAAAGTGAAAACTTTTTAAAGATTGATAGCAAAGGAACCTAAAGTTTCCAAAATATTGATAAAGTTATTTTAAACACTGAGATACTTAATATAGCTTCAAAAGGCATATTTATTCAAAAATAATACCTAAAATTTTCTGCAAGTTGTTCTATAATGCCACTAACGTCTAAACACTTTTGAATATCCTTTTTCGTAGCAGAAGCTTCCGATTTATTCTTCCAATACTCAAGCTCGTGATCTAAATTTTGTATAACTAAAATCACAAATAATAAAAGATAGCATTACATCGTCCAAAATACAAGAAATGACAGTAATTACCAGTCAGCACTTCATTTTCATTTCCTTGCTTAGAATTTTCGTCGTTGGTAATGTTAGCTAAATTACGAAGTCCGATCTGAAGATTGGCTAATTGTTTTTGAACAATTGTATTTGTGGAGGTAGTGTTGTTCTAAAATTGACACCACGTATAGTAGTTTTAATTATAATAGGTACATTTATATTAAATTCGAACCTGACTGAAAAGGGGAACAAAAACGTTACTAAGTGCATGGTACAAGGCAGTAGTCGGAGTTCCCTGTACAGCCACCGTTTGTACCATGAACATATTGTCATCAGTAATGATAATTGGGCTACTTTTGTAGAATACTACAACCTTTTCTGGATTATCCTCAGACATATTCATCTAAAAAAATATTTGTTTTATATACCTATTCAGTAAATTTATTTCTTTTTTTATTTATAGGCGATTACGAAGATGTGCGATTTGTGATATCTGGTGGTACCGTTAAAAGTTTTGGTAAGTGTATTAAAAAGTGCAATTATTGAATTCAGATTATATTATTATGAGATGGCTGACCTTATTTTCAAACTTAAGTTTTTTCCCTTTATTTTTGTCAAGGGTTGCGTACAAACACAAAATGTCACCTTGACTTAAAAATTGGGTTAAACAGTTTAAGTTTTCGGTACTCTTTTCCCATTCGTCTTCTTCCACTTTGAACCCAAGATGAAAACCTGTTGATCAACGTTTGTTTAGAACAAAGAAAATGATGAAATAATAAACTAATTACCTGCTGCATTTACAAAAAAACGAGTTTGAAAATTACTCATCGCCTTTTTTTTACTTACTATAGTTCGTGCTTTCAAAATATATAATGTGATCAATGTTTAAGAGATTGTCCATGGTTACCGTTACGTAGTAACGAGACATATTACACAAAGTTACAAATATGCTATTAGCTAATAGTGAATTTATTCAAGGAAGGAAAAAGGGAAACATTTTTATGAAAAATGATGTAGGTATTTGGTTTATCGACTTTTAATAAATAATTTAGGTTCAACAGTAACTCTTAACTGTTTTAAAAGTATTATCAATTCTGTTGCGTTTGGTCTGTTAGTGCAAAGCATTTTTCATTTGGAAATCTGAAGTGTTTTTGTAATGTAATCCACTCAAGTAATATTTTTGTTGATGTATGATACAGTGGAAGAAATGGAAAGCAAAAGTGATTAAAATTCTCAAAGTAAATAATGGTGTTAAGGAATATAAACATTAAAGTCATCCGATTATGAAATTTTATTTAAATAATACTGGTTTTCTAACATAATTCCCATACTGTGGTTTCTATTTGATGTTATAATTTGTTTCTGCTATATTTTTCATTTGAATAGCCTTCGATCGAAATCCATGAAAATCATTGAGATTCTCAATAACACGAAAAGCGACACTCTCAGGAGGATAATTAGAATGCAACATATATGCCTTTTTCTTTCGTGCATAAAATTCGTAGAGACCTTTTATGGACTTGGAGGCTTTAACATGGCGTATTCGGAGAAGATTGAGGTTTACATGAGGTTCTTTTGCAACTTTCCTAGTTAAAAATGCATCCAAATGCATCGTCAAACAAACCACAGCGTTTATAGGACACACCTTACTTTCAAAAATTTTGGCTTGATTAAGGTTCATTGGAAATCCATCTACAATGTAACCGTTACTATATTCGTAAGTGGATAGTAAATTCTCCTTTACAATTTCTACCGCCAATTTGTCTGGAAGATTGAACGGATTATTCAAATTTTTTTGAACGACTCCTTCACGTTTTGAACTGTTTTCTAATTCGTATTTGAGACACGTTTCAAAAGAAATAAGATAATAGTCGGTGGCTTCTGCCATGGCTTCAGTTAATACTGTCTTTCCAGAAAAGTGTGGACCAGTAACACAGTATATTGGGAGTTTTAACGCCCTTATTACCTTTAATTTTGCTTTTTCTTCATTGCCGTTCGGGCGCTTGTTTTCGATATATGTCTCAAAATCGGTTTTCTTGAGTAATGAACTGGAAGTAGGTTCATATATACTCAGTCTGCGTTCATCGGAAGGTATTGTTCTAAAACTTGACCTCCTATTGGAGTCCATTTTGATGGGTTTTAATATATATATAAATTTTTACATTAACATTACCGGCAAATCAAAAATAAAATGAAAGTGGAGTTAATTGCATATCAAGGTAATTTTATTACACGACATTTAAACTTTTGACAGTAACAGTTTATATTTCAAGGAAATTCGTTTGCATCTTTTGTAATATCATTTAATGCTAATTTCTTAATACTAAAATTAATTATTAGTATTTCCAAGCACATCCTGCAAACCCTTTACCTAGCTCCAAGGAAACAAAAGCGATTGTCACTAATTTTTAATTATTTAATCAAAAACAACAAACCTTTAACTTTTGTTTGAGATTTTATAAATGTGGGGATATATGTAGATATTTTTTCTTAAGAGCCACTCTGTATATTCAAAGAAATATAATTAAAAATAAGATAAACTTATCTTCATAAAAGATCCACAGTTAAACTATAATTTTCAAGCAATACAAAATATAGGAATATTCAAGCAATAATGAAATTCAGAAAATTAAATAAATTTCAATTTCAAAATGTAGGGAGTGTGTCTCCATCTAGTGGGTATTTGCTGCTACTGAAGTATTTTAATTTTATATAGCCCAAGTATTTTATTTACATATTCCAAAAGTTTGTATTCGTTCGAATGACTTTTTTGTGCAGAATTTTGATTTTAGTAAATGATTAAGACAAATATTTAATGTTGTACATTGCATTTAACTACTTTTAACTCTGGTTTAAAATGTTAGGGACATATATTGACTGAATAAATGAGTCCAACAATTACAAAATTACAATATATCTTTTATATCGATAGAAGAAAATTTAGAAAAAACAAATATTTAGTTTTAAATAAACTTAATTCAGTTTCTCAAGAAAGATCAACTACCAAATAATTAATTCATTTGCAAAAGAAAAATTTTGCTGCTTTTAGTATTTTTCTTATAAACCTTTTGCTCAATGATTATTTGAAGTGCAAATTTTTTATGATTTACTGTTTAATTTTAATTTAAAATTTTATTTTGCCTTTANTAAAATATAATAAAATTAATTGAAACGTTATTCTATAAGAAAATCGAAAGTAATACAATAAATGTTTATCATATTGGACTTAAGAAAGAAGTATTATTAATTGATTGTAGTAAAAGCAAAGTCAGAACAACTTACTTACCCTATCTGGCTTTGCTTCTACGCTACAATTTTAAGGGCAAAAATAGGGAAGAAAATGGAAACTAGATTATTAATCAATGTCTAAAATTTTTACTGTTGAATGAATTTGGTATTGATGTTTTTTCTATGAAATTCTTGAGAGTAAACTGCAGTATATTTTTGCATATGAAATGTTGCACTGTCCGTAAATCCATTGAAGGGTCAAGTACCTAAAACAAAATAAAAAAATAAATAAACCACAGACACGATTTTAATAATTTTGACTTCACACTTTGGAACTCTCTTACAATGAAAATAAAAACATTTTTGAAACTGTTTCATCTGGAAAAGATGGGGATAACTTTATTCTTTATTTGCATCAAAAGGACAGATATTAGTTTAATAGCTACAGAGTCCAATTAAGTGTGGCCCCATCGTAAGGGTTAATTGTTACTTTTTTATATTTAAGAAAATCGATTTCTTTTTAACATATTTACCTGGTCATTACATAGTAGTTCAATTTGATCTGCAGTCATTCCATTAGTTGTGGATGCTGTGTCAGCATCTCCGCTTCCTGGAGACCCTGCAGTTCCTTCTCCTAATAATTTGTCTAAAATATGTTCCGCCACTTTCCTACATTGTATAAAATCGTTTGCAACCAATCGATCCGGCTATATACACAAATATTACATTATTATTAATAATATTAAGAAAAGAATAAATGTGTGCTTACCTTCTTCAGTCTGTCTTGCTTTAGGAGGTGAGAAGGAACACTGGAATGTGGCTGAAGGTAAAATTGTATTTTTATAAATTTCCCAGTGCAGTTATCTTCCAAGTTGGACGTTACCCAGCTTGGAACTGTTTCGTTTAAAAGTGCCGTTTCCGTGTCTCCACCAGCGTCTCCAACAAGCATTCTGTATAAAGTTCGACCACCAACTTCACTGAAATAAAAAAAAAAAAACGTTCAAATTTATTACAAGTAGATGTAAGGTACCTGTACCTAAAAATAAGTGGAGTGTGTGGGGGGATGCTGAAGTACAATTTGTTTTCTTGGGACGTCTCAACCCCACGCCAATGTTCCAGCAAAGCCTGAAGAAGTAGTTTACCATAATTTACTTTCTGTTCTGGATCTGGACAATCTTTTAGGCCAGCGTCCCTTGCAGAAACCCATGCAGAAAAACAGTCGACTTCGTCTTGGCCCAAATGAATCGTTAACATCTTCAAAAATGAAATATAATTGGAAATTGAAGTCATTTCTGTATTAAAAATGAATAGTAAAACAAATTATTCAGGGAACTAATCCAACAAACAACCAGCTTTATCATAAGGACTTCCCATTACCCTTCTTTTTAAGTAAAACTAAAAAAGGAAAGAGTTATCAGAGGACAAAAATGCAACATACCCCAGTTTTTAAGTCTACATTGAACCAATTAGGAACATAGACCATTTTGAATCGATTTTTGATTTCTTCTTGGAAGTTAACAGATCCAAGGTCTTCCACCTTTTTAGCCTGAAACAAACAATTTATCACGTAATTTACTACGGTAATCAACATCATCATAATACCCGTAAGACATCATAAATGGCAACATTACTATCAGTATCTTTTGTAATTATATGTCTTTTATCATTAAGAACGACAGCTTGTTTAATTGCAGCTCCTCCAGGAATAAATGACATTGGCATTGTGGGCATACTTGTCTCACCTTTAAAATTTTTATCAGTTGGCAACTTCCAACATTTAATGTTTGATTCTGACGTGGAAACCTAAATGTAATTTTTACTTAAGATCATAAAAAACTAGAACAGGACCAAAAGTTTTTACCCAAACAGCCTGATGATCTGCTGTAAAGCACAGTCTTAATACTGGAGCCTCTTCAACACACACAATCATTGAGTTCTGAGGATTTTTCATTTCTGTCATTATGACCTACAATTAGATAGAAAAGCGATTTAATGTTAATATGTATTAATTCACCTATATGTAAAGTTACTTTTCCATCTTTACCACCAGAGATGACATAATGAAAGTTTTCTGTGGCCAATAAGGCCCAAACAGAGTCAGTGTGAACTCGAATAGTTTGGGTACACCTAAAATGAATAACCAACTTTAAAAACTATTTGTAAATGAAAAACATGTTACCTTTGAGTTCCTAAGTTCCAAACCTTTATTAAACCATCACTACTACCAGAGACACATTGCATTCCATCTCTGGATACCACAAGTGCCTTAACATTATCAGTATGTCCTGTATCAAGAGGTATAATAATGATAGAAGAAGTTAACACGATTTCATGCACAAACCTTTTAATTTGAATAATTTGGTACATGTTCTGGGATCCCATAAGCGTAAAATCTTTTCAGTTGATCCACTGACTATCACACTACCAGAAGGGTTCATAGCTAAACTATAAATAGATTCTTTGTTCCCCATTAGACTTGATGCTAAAGCAAAAAGACACAAGAACGTCAAGTATAGTAACAAAAAGACAGTTAATTTCTACTTACTTGTTACTGTGTTGTTACTTGCAGTTAGGGCAGTTAAGGTGTTGACATCCCACAAGTAAATTGATTTGTCAAAACCAGCAGATGCAACTTGTTCCCTGTCTTTAGCATAAGCCAGGGCTTTTACATAGTCTTTGTGAGTACGCAATGTCGACATGCAGAAACCTTTGTGTGCATTCCACACTTTGACAGTTGTATCAGAACTGGCACTTATTACTGAAGAACGAATTTATACTTTATGAATTGCCGTATGATGTTAAATTTATAAAACACTTACGGTTTCGGCCGCCACAGCATAAAACAATGTCATTCACCCAATCGGTGTGATGTTCCATACTCTGCAGATATTTTTCATGTTCGTAAATACGAACAACACTATCTCTTCCAGCAGAGTATAAACGATCTAATGCAGGATCAACCTGCAATGCATTAACACCAGATCGATGTTTCTTTTCTTCTGCTTCGCAAATTACCATCGACACCTGGAAAAATAAGGTTAATTTCTACTTGTTAATATATGCACAACACTACTACTTGGGTCTTTTTTCGACCACTTAGGCCTCCGGTTTTTAAATTAGCCATTTTATCTTATAAAATGTCACCACATTCTTTTAAAAATTAGGATACGTAATGATTAATCTTAAATGGAGCCAATGTTTTTGTTTACCATACAATTGTGAACCATTTTACTTTCGATTTTCAGCTGACAGCTGACATAAAGTTAGTCGAATTCAGTAGCGTCCGTTGTATTTTTCTCTTTTTACACTGTTTTCAATGTGCATTTCATTAGAATTTGCTGTAAAATTAAGTCTACGTCAATGGTCTTATAGGCTCATGCTTCCATTACTTCTGGTGTCAACCATTTTGTTGGAGCATTGTTGTTGTTGTCGGCCATTATTCTTTTTAATTGTTGATGATGTCGGCCATTATGCTTTTTTAATTGTTGCCGTATTGTTGTTATTGTCGGCCATCATGCTTATTTAATTGTTGTCGTATTTAAATGACTTTTAATTAAAATAAATATAAAATATAATA